AGGCCTAAGCGGTCGGGGCGTGCTTTTCTCCTGTTCTGTGCCACCATCCTGCGTCAGAGGGTCAGACCCCTTGGGAAGACCAGCAAAGCCTTTGCTCTTTTGGAGTTGCAGCCCAGAATCCCAGCATCCGAGTGGACTTGGGTGGGGGCTAGGCCTTGTCCCCATTTTCCCCTCGATGCACTTCCAAGAAGCACTGGGATCCCAGAGAGGCCAGCAGGAAGCCACTTGGTCGGTTCTGTATCTCCACCCTGGGGGAGGAAGAGCGGACACTTCTGGGGAACAGTCTGGGAGGAAGCAGCAGCGGCCAGGACCAGGGAAGCAAGCCAGCTGCATTCTTGGCACAAACATTTAGCGTTTTAAACATGAAGGATGTTTCCTTCTCGCCTCAGTTTTACTTGAAACATTCAGCTCATTTGCCTTGGTCCCCTCTCCCTATTTGGTGGGGGGAGGTAACTAGTTATTTTTAGAGGAGGTACCGGGGATTGAACCCAGGACCTCGTGCGTGCTAAGCATGCGCTCTACCACTTGAGCTATACCACCCGCCTCCCTACGTTTTAATAGACACTGGCCTCAAATACATCTCTCCGCCCAACTGCACTAAAAGAGCAGCCACCACCCAAGTATGATGATAATGGGCAACTTACACAAGGCCGTGATGTCTGGGAGACAGTTAGGGGTGGTGGGGACTGGGGCCACCTGTCTCTGCCATCCCAGGGGGGCACTGCTGCTCACTTCTAGAGGACATGCAGGCCTTGGCTATCTGGATGATGAGGTTTCCCCAGAAGAGGTATTTCTAAGCAATAGCCTCTTGATTTTTTAAATGCTGACAGTGAATTAAAAAATACAGAGATTGTTCAACTACCTGGACACCAGATAAAGCCAATGTGAGGTTGCTGGTTTATGACCTCGGGACCCCTGAATTTTCACTGTGTTAAATGGGGGAGAAGTTGTGGCAAATTGATACCTGAAACCCTCCCTCTTTCTCTTGGAGCTCTCTGCCTGCCCCGCCTCCTTTGTGGGCGCTGTGACCCACCCCCTGCTGCCCTGCTGGGTGATGTGGCCATCACAGTCATGGCAGCTTCTGGTCTGGGACCGAGGAGGCTACAGTCTGGGGTCTGGCTTCCCACTGAGACTAAAGGAAGGGATGGTGGCGTGCTGACACCCAGCCTGCGTGTTCCCCTTGGAAATGGCATGTGCAGCACGGACGTGTGTGCAGCCAGTGGCCCAGGGTAGAGTGTAGTTTATTTGTAGACTGTGGTTTAAATGGTTTTTAATTTTCAAAAAGCATTAAAGCCATGAATTGCAGGGCTCCCCATCCCAGGGGCTTCCGGGCTGGCTCTCTGAGAGGTGAGGTCACGGGGAGTGCAGGGGTCTGAGCAGGGATAGTGGGGAGGACTCATTTCTTGCCCTTGCCTTTGCCCTTGCCCTTGCCCTTCTCCTTGCCCTTCTCCTTATCCTTCGCTTTGTTCTTGCCCCGCTTCTTCTTCTTGGACTTGAGCATGGAACGGACCAGGTAGCCCCTCCACAGGGCCTGGATGAGAGTGGCGGCCCGCACCATGCGCACCATCTCCTGCTCGGCCTCCAGCCTCTTCTTGGTGTTAATCTCCTGTTCGGCCTGGATCTGGGAAAACTCTTCCATCAGCACCTCGTACCGTTGCTTCAGCTCCTCCAGCTGGAGTTTCTCCTCCTTGTGGATGATGTCCAGCTCCTGGTACTCGTCCTGGGGGGAGAGTCAGGGGGTGGGGATCTCCAGGCACGGTGCATTGCCTGCCACCCTCTTCTGCACACATTCCCACCCTTCCCAGAGGGGCTTCTGCCCCAGCAATGCCACTGACGCTAAGCCTTCCTGTACCTGAGGCCCGGATGAGAATGGGAGAGGTGACGCGGTCCATCCGAGCTTGTGGAGGGACCCGGAGGAATTAATTTCAGGCACAAGGAAAGAATGCGGCTTGTGGGCTGGGCAGACTGGTCTCCCAATCATTCCAGCTTGGCCACACCTCGAGGGGCTTCACCTTTCAATAACCTTCATTTTTCCTCATCTGAGACATGGGGACAATTCCAAACCCGGAGCAGGAGTAGGAGCTGTTTCCAGGATTAAATGACTGGGTGGACGCAATGTCCTAGGTGTGACGCCAGGCACACAGTGGGGACATAAAAAATACTGGCTGTCCATTTCACAAAGATACCCAGAGAAGACCTTTCTCAGGGGACCGAGTTCTCCCTTATATTTAACCACAGCCTCTCCTGTACTTTACACCTGCCTCCCTTCCTCCCTTCCACTAACCTTAACCAAGCATCAACCAGAAGTGAAGTACTTCCAGAGGACACAGAGCTAAGTGGACTTGGTCTCTGCCAGCAAGTAACCCACTGCCCTCATCGGGACCAGAGAAACAAGAGCACAGCCTCCCGTGTCTCCCCGTTCCTGGAGCACTCGTGTCACACAGAGCAAGGCGCCACTTGCCCTTCTCTGAACAGCACGCCTGACACTGGACCGCTCCTACAGGCTGATGTCACCCCCAGTGCTCACCAAGCCTCCCTGGCCCCAGAGCCGGGGCTGTGGGCCACTGATGTTATCACAGAGCTGGGTGGAGGCTTGAGGGCACCCCGTTTTATAGGCGGCCGTTCCCTGAGCGCCTCCTCCAGGCCAGATCCAGTGCTGTACAAGCACTTGTGACAACAGTGCCTCATTGAATCCCCGCCAGGGTCGCAGTGTGGGTGTCACTGTCTCGGTTGATCACGTGCAGGAATGGGCTCAGAAAGGTCAAGTCCCTTGCTTCACACGCAGCGAGTAAGTGACTCCAGAGTAGAACCTCTGAGTGGTGACAGGGGCTTCCTTTGCCACTGTCACCCAGCACCTGGCACACCTCAAGCACTCGGTAGAAAGTTTCTGAGTGACAGTGAGGTGGTGGAGGTAAGCTCACACCTGAGTCTGGCGGGGATGAGCCCTGGCTTGTGGGGATGGAGGTGCTGGCGGGAGCTGAGGGAAAAGGGAACAGGGAGTCTGGGATGTGGACACTAGGTGGAGCCACCATCTTTGGGCCTGGTGTCAGGCACGTCTTAGTGGCTCACAGCTTCTGGATCCTTCCTTTCCCACCTCTCCCCTCACTGCCCCAGGCTAGACAAACCCTTGAGCCTAAGGAAGGGGCAGAGAAGCCACTGGGGGAGGCTCTGACCACGGACCATCCAGAGCTTCTCCTCCCATCCCCCCATTCCTAGAGGATCTTGGGCAACACACTTGAGAGACTCAGGCAGACAGATACCTGCTTTTCACTCATCTCCGTATCATATTTCTGGATCCAGTTCTCAATTTCCGTCTCCACTTTATATTTTTTCTAAAAAAAAAATTCAATTAGTCATTGTTCGAAAGGCTGATATTAGTGATAAATGGCACGGAGCCGGCTCTGTATCAGCGGGCCCTACGTCACACCTCGCCCACTGAATCCACACCACGGGGTAGGTTCTCCTCCACTTCAAGGATGAGGACATGGAGGATCAGACGTGCTAACTCACTTGGCCCAAGATCGTGAGGCTAACGGGTGGTAGGGCCTGGACTGGAAGCCAGCAGTCTGGCTCCAGGACCTTCTGGGCAGAGGGAGCAGCAGTTGCTAAGGCCCTGAGGTGGGAACAAGCTTGTGATGTTTAAAGAACAGGAACTGAGCCAGTGTGGCTGGAATGGCGTGGCTGAGGGGGAGCATGGTCCCAGTGAGATCAGAGTGACGCCGTGTCATGGGGGAAGTGTCAGCAGAAGAAGGAGTCTGGTTTCTAGTGTAAGAGGGATGGAAGCTGGGAAGGGGGTGGATTTAGGTGCGGTGGAGGAACATGATCTAATTTTGTTTTTAAAAGATTAACGCCTGTACATACAATGGAATATTATTCAACCATAAAAAGGGACGAAATATTGGTGAATGCTATGTGGATGAACTTTGAAAACGCGACGCCCAGTGAAAGAAGCCAGTCATGAGGACCACATATTGTCTGATTCCATTTACATGAAGCATCCAGGACAGGCAAATCCATAGAGACAGACAATAGACTAGTGGTTGCCAGGGGCTGAGGGGAGGGGAGAGAGTGGGGAGAAACTACTTACTGAGTACAGGGTTTTATCTGGAGGTGATGAAAATGTTTTGGAACTAGATAGAGGTGGCGATTCTACAACATCGTGAATATCCTAAGTGCCACTGAATTCTTTACTTTAATATGGTTCATTTAAGGCGGGGAGGATAGAGCTCAGTGGTAGAGCACATGCTTAGCATGCACGAGGTCCTGGGTTCAATTCCTGGTACCTCCATTAAAAAAAAAATAAAGTGGTTAATTTTATGTTATGTGGATTTCACCTCAATTAAAAAAATAAATCAGCTTCTTAATCCTACAGAGCAAGAATTTTAACTTGGGCCCCATGGACGGGCTGGCTTCAGGGGCCTGTGACCCAGGAATTGTCCAGCACTATGTGTGTGTGCATCTATGCCTTTTTATGGGGAGAGGCCTGTGGCTTCCATCAGATGCTCAAAAGAGTCATGAGGCTAAAATGAATCGGGGAACCTTTGTGAGGAAAGGGATTTGGAAGCAAACCGGGGGCACACACCTGGCCTGGGTTCTGGCTGAGAGGATGGAGAAGGCAAATGAAAAAATGATACTTATTGAGCACCTACTAGGCACCAGCTCTCTACCTGTCATCTCATTTAATTCTCATTTTAACTCATTAAGGCCTCTTTAATCACTTTCATTTTAAAGACGTGAAAACCGAGGTTCAGAAGGACTTCAGGGATTTGCCAGAGGCTTGTGTGCTCTGTCATTTCCTTTGCAGGACAGGTGGGTGTTCTCCTCAAGGGCTCAAAGGAGTTCAGGAACTTGCCTAAGTTCCCGATCTCTCTGACCCCCAGCCCCTGGGCCTGTGTGCCGCTCCCTCCCGCCTCCCCATGGATGCGGCCTCAACCTGGGGTTGCCTCTGCTCCAGTGTCCTCCTGTGGGGGGGAATGGAGCTGCTCCCTGGGTGGCTGGAGCAGCCCTGCCCTGCCCTGCACACTGGCCCTCCCTCCGCCCCCTCCCCACTTCCCCAGGGCACCTTCCTCAGCATCTGCTCCGCCTCCCAGTTCTCTGAGACCAGGTTGTGGAACTGTGACCGCAGCATCAGGATGTCCTGTTGGATCTTGGCCACCCTGGCCTGCGAGGCCCGGAAGTCTACCTTCTGCTGCTTCTCAGCCTCCAGCTTGGTGCGAAGGAGGCTGTTTTCTGAGAACTTGCACACCTGGTGCAGTTGGTTTTTCAGTTCTTGGATCACAAAGTTCTCCTTCTCCACCTGGGCCAGGAAGAAGAGAGGGTCCGCTAACACCTCTGTCATCACCGATCATCCCAGGGGAGGCTGGTGTGACTGTGGCTCCCTTAGGGCAGAGCATCGTTGCCTGGCCAAACCCTACCCCCAGCCCTGGCTAAGGACGAGGACAGACTGACTAGAGACCGGGAAATTGAGGCTCAGTGGGGATCGAGTTGTCTGTCGGGTTGTGCAGCTGAGCTGGAATCTGAAGCCGCCTCTGTCTGATCCAGGGCCCATGTTCGTGGCCACCACCCTGTTTCCTGGTATGAGTGAAGTGCACAGGTGTGCCGGAGTGAGGCCACAGGACAGCAGGGACAGCTGCGGCACGCCCGCCCAGGGCACAGTCAGGGAGTGCCCAGTTGGCAGAGACACGCCGCATGGTGCTGGGAGCGTGAGATAAACACATGCTGCAGGGACTGCCACCCAGCTGTCCCCTCGCGGACCTGGCTTGGCCCCTGCCCTCAGTCGGTTCTAAAACAGGAATTGGGGTGGGCGGGTGGGGCTGTCCCGTCAGTAAACTCCAAAGGCTGATCACACGCTCTGGAGTCTCCTTCTGAGACTTGAGCCTTCGGCTGGGGGCCGCTGGCTGCGGGGCCGCTGGCTGCGGGGCCGCGGGGGCTCTGAGCTCACTGCCTGTCGCAGGGAGTGCTGGGGGGCGGGTCTGAGGCAAGTCTGTCCTGTGGGCAAGTCTTCACGCTCCAGGTGTTGGCTTTGGAGCAGGCAGTATTATTGGCAGCCAGAGCTTTGCGTGTGGATCCCCCCGCCCTGCCAACCCCAACAAAACATACCTTATTGGTGTCACCTCCTTATTTCACGGCGAGAACTGATGGATCTGATAAAATGTGCCCACCTGGCCAAAACGGAATTTGACCCCGGATCTGTCCATCTTGGCAGCCCCAAGCTGCTTCCACCACCCAAGTGGGACCAGCAAAGCCACTTGTGTGTCTTGCCCCTGTCCCTAGGTGACACCCCTGCGTCGGGGAGGGAGGCCAACCACGACCTCTCGTGGGTCACAGGGTGATGAAAATGCCTGCGGTAGCACTGGCTGGCTGTTCCCCAGGATCTGTTCTCCCTAGAAAGGCTGTACAGCGGAATGTTTCACTGGGAACGTGGCCCCAGCTATAGACCACTTTCCCCAGCATCTCCAGCCACTGGGTGTAGCTCAGAACTGTCTGTACGCTGATTCCAGGTGGCCTCCCAAAAGGGCAGGACGAAGGCCCCTCCTCCCCTTTTCTCCTTCCTGTTGATTGGACCGGTGGCGACAGCTTGGAAGAAAGCTGGGGAAACCTTCCCGGTCCACAGAGGAGCCATGTAGGTGATGGCAAAGATGCCAGCCAGAAGGAACCAGGACCCCTGACAATTTTACAAAGCAGAGCTCCTATGCCAACTCCCTATTAGACAGAAATATATACATATATATATATTTTTTAAATCTATTTTTATATATAGTGGCTTACATTTATAAATCTCAAACTCCCAAATTTATCCTTTCCCACCCCCTTTCCCCAGTAACCATAAGATTGTTTACTATGTCTTGAGTCTGGTTCTGTTTTGTAGATGAGTTCATAGTGTTCTGTTCTTTTCTTTTCTTTTCTTTTCTTTTCTTTTCTTTTCTTTTCTTTTCAGATTCCACATATGTGTGATATCATATGGTATTTTTCTTTCTCTTTCTGCCTAGACAGAAATATACTTCCATCTTGACTAAGCCACTGTTATTTTGAGGCTCTTTGTTTTAGCAACTTACACGCCACCTCCCAGGGACTTTTAAAGGCTTTTGTGAGAAAACGTATATAAAGAATATGTGTCCCCAAGTGGTTATTAATAGATCAGGATCATGTTATCCTTTCTCTTCTTAAAAATTCTTCTGGTGCTCCCACCCCTCCCACCCCTCCACCTACCCCTTGCCCTCGGGACAAAGACCATATTCCCTGATTAGGCGTCCAAGGCCCTGTGTGATCTGCCAGCAAAGCCGAAGGTTTGCCTGCCCCTGGCCTGGAAGGTCCCTCCCTACCTCACTTGCCTGGTTCACTCCCTCTCCTTCAGGTCTTGGCTTTGAGTTTCCTGAGTTCAAAGTTCAGGTCTCCTGTAACACTTTTTTTTTTTTAATGGAGGTACCAGGGATTGAACCCAGGACCTTGTGCATACTAAGCATATGCTCTGCCATGGAGCTATACCCTCCCCTTCTAACACTCTCTTATAGCACCCTATACTTACCCTTCCCTTTACTTCTCAAAACTGTAATTAAATCAGCTCTTTAAGCCCTGCCTTCCCTGCAGTGAACTCCATGAGGCTGGAACCATGTAGGCTTTCTTTATAAGACCTGGCAACTGGTAAGTGCTCAAAACAATATATGTGGAGTAAATGAATGAAAACAGCTATTTAAATCACTGAGGAAAAACCCAACTGCCGAAAGATTTGGGCCCCTCCCCGGGGCTCCTTCCATAACATGACCTATGCTGTCCAGTGATACCTCTGCATCCCTGTTCTTCACGCATGCTGCCAATTCATTTTCCAGCGTGTCGATGATTTCCTGGTTCCTCCGATTCCGTCTGCTGATGTCCTGTACAAAATGAGCCTTCTCTCTGGCTTCCATGGGGCTAGTGAGAAGCTTCTCAAACAGGAAACCTCGGAGCTCTATCAGGCTATCAATAAAACTCTGGGCTTCCGCACTTCTGCCCAGTGGCTGCACCTGCAGGAGACTGGCTGCCGCCTGGGGGTTATTGAGCAGGAGTCTCACGATGTCCTTGGTGGATTCTTTGACCTGCTGCACAAGTGGTGGGAGGTGGGATCTCTGCAGCTCTATGGAGAGGAGGCGGTCTCGGAACCATGGTTCATCCTCGAACACATCTTCCCCCTGCAACTGCCGTTCTTCCTCCTGCAGGTAACCGACGTGATCCAGGAGGATCTGGCAAAGGTGCCCGTGCTCTCTCACTGCCTTCATGATGTCCTCCCCCAGCATCCCCTCCAGATCCTCGGGATTGGACGCCACGTATGACAGCAGGGTCACCAACTCCACCTTGTGGATGGTGTCGTCTAGGACGGACATGATCCTCTTGGTCTCAATGGTGGTGAGTTTGGGCTCAGTGGGGACCAAGAGTTTCGGCGGGGTGGTTGACTTTTTGGTTGTCTCTGCTATCAGCCTTATTTTGTTGACGTCAGGGCCCGGGTAGAGAGGGGCCACGGCGAGCATGTCCAAAGCCATTTTATTAGCAGCCTTTGTGCGCCCTGAGAGATCGAGACCTTGGTAGACTGTCTGGGTCTCCTCCATGTATTGTCTCTGGCAACCCTGAAAAGGGGAGGAGTGAGCAGTTAGCAGAGCCGCGCTGACATCGGGACTGGCTGCCGTGACCCCAGCCGCCGTCAACCCTTGACACTGAGAGTTCATCGTAGGAGCTCCACAGCTTTTACACAGAACCTGTCACGGAAAGCAGTTTCTAGCTTTGTGACAGTGTCAGGGCCCCAAGGGCAGGAGGACCAAGCGTGGAGGTGGGTCTCAGGCACACGTGTCAGGCAGGGACCACCCATGAATGCATACATCATTCCAAGTGTTTAAACACAGCAAGCCGGTTACATGGGGTGATGAAAGAGTTGACAGGCCAGTCGGGGGGAAGGGGAAGCCACCCAGTTGTCAATGGCAGGAAGCCACGCAGGAGGAGGAGGGGGTGAGCTTGGGGCTTGGGGTCACCCAGGGGAAGCCGGAGCCACAGCCATTTCCTGTCCAGGAGGAGCGATAGCCCCTGCGGCCACTGCCGGAAACGCAGCCCAAAGCAGAGAGAAGGGGAGAAATACTGCCTTTCTCCCTTCCTCCCATCCTCTCATCCTCCCATCTAACACCAGTGCCTCCCATTGGCCAAACCCTGTGGGAAACCAGCTGACAAAGGAGCCTGGGCAATGCATCCTGCGGGGGTGGCTGCCTGAGACACAGAGCAGAAGAGGGACAGAGCAAATAATGGTGCTGAGGGCAAACAGCACTGGGACCAGCACAGCCCATTTGCATTGGACTTTAAGAATGGATTTGAAAAAATCAGGATGGGGCTGAACAATGACTTTGGAATACAGTTTTAAAAACTATATTGCTAAATGCAGTATTGCATCCTGAATTGGTTCTTGGAACAGAAAAAGGACATTAGCAGGAAAACTGGTGATACCCAAATAAAGTCGAAGTTGAGTTCGTAGCATCGTACCAATGTTAATTTCTTAGTTTTGACACATACCATGGTTATGTAACATACTGACATCAGGGGGAGCTGGATGGACACATGAGAATTCTCTGAACTACCTTTGCAACTTTTCTGTAAACCTATAATTATTACAAAACTAAAATCTTATTTGAAAGAAAAAAATCTACGGCGGCAATCAGGAATCAGTGATTCATGTGGCATATATGGCATGATATCCTAGCTTTGCAGCAGCCCCACTAGGGTTCAGATCCTTGCTGGGGGACCCTGGGCTTCCTCAGCCATTAAACAAGGATTCGATGGGAAGTTCCTGGCACAGATCTTGAACGTTGTCAGTGCTCAATAAATAACTAATATTATTAGCCCAGACCTAGTGAATGCCTACTGCCCAGGATCGGCTGGACCTCCCAACATACTGTGTCCAAGATGGACCCCAACACGTCCCCACCCTCACCTTGCTGATTCTTTATCCCTTGTCTTGACGATCAGCAGTTCTGCCTCCCTCGTCGCCTAAGCCAGAATCCTGAGTGCCACCCACACTCTTCCTTCCCCTCCGCATCCAGTGCACCACCCAGTTATCTGTGTTCTCTCCTTGATAGCCCCCAGTCCACTTCTTTCTCAGCAGCCTGTCCGCCATCGAGTAAGGGCCTTAATATTGCTCACTTGGGTGATTAAAGAGTTTAACTGGCCTGCTTCCATCTGCTCTTGCTCCCTGCAATAAAGATCATCCCTGTAGTCACCTATTCAGGTATTTATTGAACCCCTGGGGGTATAAAAAAAGATGCAAGGTCTAATTCCTGTCCTCCCAGAGTTTATATCCTAGTTTGGGATATGAAACATGCACACGTGTAGGTTCAGCAACTACAGAAGGCAGGGGATGAAGCTGTATTCATAGAGTAGGTGGAGATTATGACCCGCCATCAACACCAGAGTGGGGACATTGGAGTTTATCTTGTAGGAAATTAGGATCCATTTTGATTTCAGGAAGAGTGTAACAGGATACAATCAGATGCTTGAGAAGGATCTGTTGTAATGGATGATTCATAGAGAAAGGTCTGTTGGCAGGTAGACCAGTTGGGGTGTTTTTACTTCCTTGGCTGCTATCCTTTCAGAGACCTGGTTCTTCAGCTTTCCCTTCACCATTTTGGTCAGCTTCTGTTGCTTGCAATCAAAGACCTCTAGCTGACAAAATACTCCAGGCAACTGACAGCACCGGGTCCAGGGGGCTCCAGGGAGACCTTGGGGATGGAGATATGAAGTTAGGGGAGAAAGAAGTGATACCTGAAGCCACAAAAGATACCTTCAGCTTCCCAAAGCAGAGAGTAAATAGAGAGAAAGGGAGGGAATCAGAGAAACACCTAATGTGACAAAGAACAGGAAGAAAGGCAGCCAGGTCAGGTGCTAAGGATGCTGTGGCTGGGAAAAATGGCTCCCAAATCGGGAGCCTCTGGGAGCAGAGGGCTGAGGTGAGAAGGGCATCACTGTGCCATCTCTTTGATTCCCACCCACTTCTTGCTCCCCAGTCAGTCTTGCATGTTCCTTAAGGCTTTTCCTGAAAATAACATTAGGGACAGCCACGGAGCCTCCTCAGCCTCTCTGAGGATGACGGATCTTTGCCTCGCGGCCACAGGATGAATGTGAACAAAGTGTTTAATGAACGCACTTCTCTGCATCAGCCCCCAAAGCTCTCTAGCATAAATCAAAACGCCTGAATTCTTCAGAGAGCGTGGCTGGAAATGCAACGTTATAGGAAATGTTTCCAATTTGCTTTCAGCCAAATTACCTCTTTTGCTTTAAAGGGCAAACTTGTTTTCTTTGATTATGACGATGCCTGTCAGTTCCTGACAGCTCATTTGGGTGAACGAGAAAAAGCCGGTGGAACTGGGATCGGGGGACACGCGTCTGACTCTGATGACAAAAATCACTGGAGAATCTCTTTTCCTTGAATTCTAATATGATCATTTCATGTCCTTCTTAATGCCACCAACCTTAATATTTAAATCATTTCTCCTTTTAAAATTCCTGCCCTGAGAGTGAAGCAAGGTTGTTAATGGATGGGGAACTTTAATTGGATCTTCCTTTTATTTGTCATTAATTCTGCTGATGAACTTTATAAATGGAAATGTATCTTTATCATGCAAATTAGACCTCGTCTTCATTCAAATAGGCTTGTTGGATGTTTTATTACTTTCGCTCTTGGAATATTTTGAAGGCAAAAAAAAAAATGTTTGAGGTAAATTATATATATTTTATCCCCTGGGGAGAAAAAGGAGATGAAAACCCAACACCTATGACTACCCTACAAATCCAGCCCTGGTCCGTGGAGAGGTCAGAGGGTGTTAAAAAAAATATTGGAGAGAGTGTGTGTACGTAGGGGTGGAGGGCCTCTCATTTTAAAGAATGCCATTTAAATACTAGCTCTTGATAACTCACTGCGTACCCAACACTGTTCTAAATGCTTTACATGAACTAACTCCTTTATTCCTCACAACAGTCTCATGAAGTAGGTGCTTTTATTCCCTCCGTGTTACAGGAGAGAAAAGGGAGGCAGAGAGAGTCTAGCTGTTTCTGTAGTTTACACCTAGTAAGTGACAGAGTTGGGGTCTGTCTCAGGAGTCTGCACCCTACAGCCGCTATTCTGCCCAGTCTGTCAAATTTAAGATTGACTTCTATGTTGAACATAGTAGAATCATCCTTTGCTGGTCCAGTTTCAATGAGTCCTGTCCCGTAGAGATGTAGAGAACTGATGTGTTCAAAATTCAATTCCTATAGCAGTCAATCGAATTAACAGTGATAGATATGAATATTCATATTTGTTATATATATTTATGTAACATATTATATCATGTCATAAATTATTGATAAATATAAGTGCTAGACTTGATTTGCATTTTTTCGGGGGGGTGAAGGGAAAGTAGTTAATTTATTTACTTTAATGGAGGTATCAGGCACTTGAAATGGTGAATTTTATGATATGTGAATTACAGCTCAATTAAAATAAAGAAATATATATATTAAAAAAAGGAGTACCAGGGATTGAACCCTTGCCTGCTAAGCATATGCTCTACCGCTCAGCAACACTCTCCCCCAGTGTCACATTTTCATAGTGAAAAATGGTGGGCCAGGATCTGGTCTATGGATTTTTTTTCCCATCCCTTAACTCGGGGCTTGGAATTTTAAAATAAAAGATTTAAATCTGTTTTGGTTTTTTCATGGTTTAGCTGCATTTTTTTGTGTTTTTCCTATCGCCACTTTTGAAGTATTACCCAATCCTCTGTCGTCTTTTTTGAGAACCCATGTTTTGTGGATTCCGTTTGGCTTGCAAAAGGTTCCCAGGCTGGGGCTGTAGCAGTGAACACTGGAGGTATTCACAGACGGGATCTCATCGGTGGTGATGGCTCTGTGACCGCGGGCTGCAATGTTATCCCGCGCTTTGGAGACAGAGGACCCTTAACAGAGGCTGAGGTTGGAAGGGAATGGGCTCCCGGGGACAGAATTCTAAGCTGATGGTTGTCAAGAACATCTCTCTGCTGGCCACTGGCCACGGCTATAACCCTAGGCAAATTCACTTGACCTTCTGAACCCGCATCTCAGAAGCTGAAAGGCAAAAAAAGAGCCTACTGCACGGTGATTAAGTTTGTGGGTTCCAAGGTCAGACAAATTCGGAGTTCAGTCCCAGGGGATCACCACTTCCTCGCTGTGTGGCTTTAGGTGAGTCACTTAAAGTCTCTAAGTGTCTTTGACTTCCTTGTCAGTAATATGGGGACAGTAACAGAACCCACACTTGGTAGAATTGTTGTGAGTGTGAAATGAAGTCCTGACCCAGGAATGTTTAGCTTTTTTTTTTTTTTAAGATTTTTTTTCAGTTTTCCTTTTTTGGGGGGGGTCGGTAATTAGGTTTATTTATTTATTAGAGGAGGTACTGGGGATTGAACCCAGAACCTCGTGCATGCTAAACCACTCTACCACTTGAGCTATACCCTCCCCTCAAGAATGTTTAGCTTTTATGATGACTTTCAAAATGATACAATTGGAAGGG